ACGGACTGCGAACGAGCACGGCGCTCGAGACGGGTGCGCGCGCGGGGTCGAATCGCCGTCGGCGCAGGGGTGGGGCGCGGTGGGGTGGCCCGCGGGCCACTGGGTCGGGGTAGGTGAGTGGGTGGCACACAGGGGTGGGGATCACGCACGAGGTATGACGAGGGGGTCAAGGGGCAAGGCACGCGCCTGGAGGGGACTCGCCCTCCCTATTTTACCTTTTCCTCTGACGATGCTGACGGTGACTCCGAGCGAGGAAATTGTGAGCTCTAGTTCTATCAAATGGAGACATGACCGAGTTCGTTAAAGGGGAAAAAAAATGAAGGATTCTCCAGCTTCGTCGTGTGCTTCTTTCGATTCCAAAGAACATGCAACTTCGTAGGAATTATGTTGACGACCACGTTGCTATGGTTAGTTGTATATCGTATGGCGGAGCGCGCATTTCACCGCGACGCGAAGCGACGCGTTCAACAATATACACTAAGGCTAATCGATCGTTTGTAAATTGATACCTGCGAAGTCTCATAAATTTTCTTTTTTATGTATTAATTTTGTCGGTGCGCACGCGCGAGTTTTATTCTATACACGTCTATTACTTTCTTGAATATAACATTGCATGGTATGAATACTTTACGACACATTGTAGACCTATATAAAAGAAACTCCAGTTATTATAAAGCACATGTTTATGTTTAGAAAAGTATTATTTTTAGATATTACCACGATGTTGATGTTTTAACTTTATCTGTTAGAAAGAAAATGTATGTTATATTATACTTAATTTTGTTGTTTGGTAAAAGAATTTCTAACGAAATGCAATTACTCACATCGTCGAGCGACATTCGTATGAACATCTGCATTTTCCATAGGATGCAGATGGTATTGAGTTCTCAAACGGAATGAAAGAGGAAAAGAGAGAACCACTGCGTGTTGCTCCGTTCTACTCGAAAAACTTCGTAACCATACGCTTTCCCCATGACTAACAGGTGGAAGCCGTTTGAAACGTGCAGCTTTCCTCGAGATTAGCAGGTGGAGGATGCTATTGGTGCTCATGTCGCGGATTATTTCGAACCAGATCTAGAGAAACCACCTTCCCCTCTTAGAAAGCAGATGGACAACTGACAAAGCACATTTCGGTAAAATTATCCATCTTTTCTTTTCTTCTTCTATCTTCAACGCTAAAACAATGAAAACAATGACAACTTTAAACGAGATTTATTCAACGAAAACTTTAATTCTTTCTTGAAACAAAATTTTCTTGAAAAAAAGTAACTGAAGTAGTAAAAGAATACCTTTCGAAAATTATGTATTAAAAAGAAACGATTTTCCAACAATGCCGAAGGAAATTTTCACCCTGAGAGAAGTTATAGTCACAAATATAGAAAATAATACTGTTGCATGCTGCAAGTTCGATAGACACCAAGGTGTAGTGGATAGAATGTTTTATTGATGGCTTATTGCTTGAATCGATCGACAGTTCCACGGTAGCAAGTAGAGTAACAGTATACATAAGCTCCCGAGTCACTGAAAATTATAAAATTATCATTCGTTACACTTTGCAAGCAAATATCAAAAATCTATTTATAAAGTTTTATCAATTTTTCTCTTATTAATTATCAAATATATTTGTTACAAATTTCCTACCTTATCGATCAACAATCTTTATTGTTTCACAATTCATATTCGTCGACATAAACATAATTAAATGTTTCATTTCAATTCTAGGGAATAAACACGAATCAATAGCAATTAAATACAACTACTCTTGCAGATGGCAGCTTACGTAAAGAATATGAAATGACTTGCACGCTATGATTACTGTAGCGCAAATTTGAAACGAACATGCATGCCATACTATTTATTTTACTCGATAAACATCCGTACATGTAAAAATACACATGTTTTAAATAAAGTTTCTTGCAATTTTTAAAAGAATCTGTATTCTCTTCCATTATTTCCACGATTCAAAAATAGAATAAAGTGAAAGGAACTTGTGGATTAATGAGAGTAAATTTTATACAAATCTATAAATTTCTATATATTATTCTAGTTTATAATTACTTATTTATATTGACTTTGATTAATTGATATATTAATTTCGATGTATATATATACTAATTTCAGAAATAAAAATATCACTTACTATCCTAAAAAATTAAAAATGAATAAGAAATGCGTTTCAAACCCGTCTACATGAAACTTCGGTGCTACTTTTGCTTCTACAGAAGTCATTCTGGCATCTTTAGACAATTTGCAATGTCCAGAATAAATATTTTATAGGACCGATCGATTTTCGTGCTACGGATTGGTGGAAAGACTACCTTTACGCTAGAAAAATCGTTAATAGATATAAATAAATCGTAGTATCCATTATTAACCTATACTAATTGGAAATATGTATAATTTTTTAAATTATATTTAGAACATTCATCTGAAAGTGCACCATTAATAACACCATTATTATCATAATTTCGAGCTCCAATTATTTGCAACTATGAATTAAGAAACAAATTAGTTGAAACTTTACAACAATAAATATTTGCACTTCAAAACGAATTTTAGAATATTAACCTTTCTTGTATTTGCTTAATTATATAAAATCAAAAAACTGCGATTTATTTTAAAATAACCAATTATAAAATGATTAATAATTGCATTTGGTATCCTTATAACAAAAAATCGAGTTATTAATTTTTGTATCAAAATATTACATTTCTTAAAGTATCGTTTCTTGTAATATAATACAGTGCAACAAACTTCGAATTACAAATTAAATTATCTATTAATAAAGTATTCAATATCTCATTTTATTGGTCATTTAAATATTCTCCAATTTTCGAATCGTTAATAGAACTACATTTATTCAAAAAAGCTACAATATTTACTATTTAGTAAGTAAATTAAGTCTTATATTTTTGGTTATTTATAAATAAGAAATAAATTAAAAAAAATAAATATTCAATTGTGTAAATGAAAACGTGACTTGTTTCCTTATTAAGAAATGGCGGGAAAAATAGCTAAAAATGGCTTGACACTTACCTGTAGCTTAATACTTATTTATAAGGTACACGTATTAAGTTGACTGTCAAGTAAGCTTAAAAGTATAATTTTGTTTTGTGATTAATTTTATAATTCGTCTTATATTAAAAGTGAATAATTCTTCGGGTAAACTGTAAGTAGTAAAGGTTAATTAAATATATTTGCTGTTAGCAAATTGTTGATTTTATTTTTATAATTATTGTAACAAATAATTTTATTTTAGATATTTAAAATGGGTAATGATAGTGATTCTGATGTAAATGATATTTTAAATGATCTTTTAGCTAATGATGATGCAGAAGAAAATTATGAATTATCTCCAAAAAAAAAAGAAAGAACTTTGAAAGAACTGAATTTCAATTTCTTAGATATGCCTGAATTAAATAATGAAAATATATCTGATAATATTCAAGAGAAAAGCGAAATTTATGATGACACAATTGATTCTTCAGATGATGAAGACAGACGTTATTTTGAAGAGCAAAAATATTCTGATTATGGACGTGATATAAAATCTTTATTAAAGAAAGAAGCTATTAATACAAATGAAGGTAAAGCACGTGAGATAGGCAAGAAAACATTTGAGTTTAGTGCACCTAAACATAAAAATGTAAATGTAGTAACTAATAATTCTGTTAACACGTCAAAAGATATTTATTGTGATGAATTTTTTGGATTGAGAATTATTAATCCAATAGTCTCATCAGTGGAACTAAAAGCACGTATGGCTGATAAAATACCAATTACAATATCAAGAGTGAAATATCATCTTAATTCAGAAAAAATAAAGAAAGATTGGGTAATTGCAGGAGTATTAGTAAACAAATCTGTACCAAAAACCTCTCAAAAAGGAACTTTCTATTCTATATGGACAATAAGTGATTTATCTGAAAATATGAATACTGTGTGCCTTTTCATGTTTAGCAATGCAAATAAAACGTTTTGGAAAACTACTATTGGTACTGTGATAGGTATTCTTAATCCAAAAGTTTTAGAGTCTAAAGACAATATTAGCTTAGCTACATTATCAATTAATAATCCACAAAGGATCATGATTCTTGGAAAATCTAAAGATATGGGAAAGTGCAAATCAAGAAAAAAGAATGGAGAACAATGTAACTCCATTGTAAATATTAGTCGTTGTGAATTTTGTTTATATCATATCAAGCAAGAATACAAAAAATGCTCTCATAGATCAGAATTACAAGCATTTAGTAATACTCAAAATTTTTCAATAGATATGTTAAAAAAAAAAACACAGCAACAAACGAAATTAGTTATGAATAATATGCCCGAATTTCATGCTATTGTTGCTGTAAAAAATAAGAAATTAGAAGAAAAAGATGCCAAACGGTTAGCATTACTTTCAGGAAGCCAAAAAACTAGCAATTTAAGTAGCACAAATTTGGATAATGTAAAAAATATAGCTGAAAAAGTAGAAGTACCAGGAAAACAAATGAAAAAATGCTTTGAAGAAATAACCAAGTCAAGAGGTTGGAAAGCTACTGTTTTGTCTAAAACATTTTCAGATGACAATACATCTTCTTCACCTACATCAAAGAAGTTAAGTTCCTACAAGCATGATAATATAGGGAAAAAAGATTTAGGCATGTTATCCTCTTTATCTTCAAGTCCCCGCTTAGGTGTTGGTTGCCTTGGTGGAACAGTAGATTTATCAGAACCTATAACTAAAAAACAAATTAATATAGCTAAACATAATGCAGTTAAATGGGTTAAGGAAAATGGTAAAATTAAACCTAAAAATCCTAACAAAATACATTTAAGTAAAGAAGAAAAACTGAAGAAAGGGAAAAAACGATCAAGAGAGTCAGAATGTGATGAAGAACAAAAAGTAAAGAAACCAAATGTTTTAGGAGATAAATTTAAGGAAATGATGCAAACCAAATCTGCTCATACTGATCTTATTGAAAAGTCTTATGAGCAGGAACAAAACAAGTATTTCAATAAGCTAGAAATGAAAGAAAGAATGGAAGAAAAAATGTTAAGTACCTATCAGGTTCCTTGTAAAGCTGTTAAGTGTTTAACATGTAAATATACATCATTTTCTGCTTCTGATATGTGCAAAGAACAGAAGCATCTATTACGTATTATGGATGCAGTAAAGAGATTTTTCAAATGTGGAGATTGTGGAAATAGAACAGTAAGTTTAAATAGAATACCTTCGCATAGTTGTATAAAATGCAGCAGTTCAAATTGGTCAAGAGCTGCAATGATGGATGAAAGAAAAACAAATATTTCCGTCACTGCGTTATCCATATGTGGAGATGAGGAACCTTATTTAGGATCAATGACTAAAGATGCCAATCTTAATCTCTTGGTACCAGAAGAAGATGACAAGTAATACCATACTAAATTTAAATTTATAAAAAGTATACATATATACATATATAAAAGAGTGACATCTTTCCTAATATTGTATATCTATTTGACTTTTGTTTCGTTTTTATTGTCTTTAACATCAATATTTTTTACTATGAAATTAATAAATGTAAAAAATCCCTAATAATATAGTTTATATATATATATAAATGTAATTTCATATTTTTATAAATCTATTGTTATATTAAAAGCAATTAAAAAAATAAATACATTTAACTATATTTGTTCAAATATACATACTATGTAGAAATATCTAAGTACAGTCAGGTGTAAATTGGTATAAAATGTATTTTACTGATTACTTCCTTTTTTATTATATTATGCCATTTTATTTTTTTTATTTTTCTACTCAATTTTTTATTCAACAGCACCCCATTGTATAGGCGAATATGTCTTATTAATAATATAAAGACATTTTTTTTAATACTTCATTTAAGTAAAATTCACGTATATGTATAAAAAGGGAGAACATTAACAAAAATGTAAAAAGACGTTATAATTGGAACCCGAAAATATCCCTCAATGTAAAACCATTACAGAGCAAAAATTTAAAAAAACTACTTTTCCATTCTATCTTCATTATTATTTAATTCTTAATTTTACATTTTTTCAGCATTTTTTAAATAATTATCTTGATTATGCCCTGTGGAAACAAATGTTATTGTGACATTTTCGAGTTCTAATAGCAACTTGTTTGCATGAGAAACATAGACTGTATTTTTCACTTCTTATTCATTTTTTCATACTCTATTCTATTCAGATTTTTATTAAATTTTGATATTAACGATACGTTAATTTCCCTTGTGTATAAATTTTGTGTAATGCATATGTGAAAAAAGGGAGATTGGAAGTAACATTTAATTATTAAATAAATTTTATGTTTCTGAAGAAATATATTAAAATATTTCATCGTTGTCAACTTCACAAAATTTGTATTCTTCTTGGTTTTGTATTATTAATAGCAAAATGAAAGTACACTTGTTATAATTGCCATATATACTAAAAAATACCAAACCAATATAGATACATGAGCTAACTACTTGAAAGTAGTTATAATTATAAATTAATATAAAATTATAACTATTAGTTCTTGTTGAGGTAACTTTTATTTTCATAATTAAAATGTTCCTTTTTTCACATGAACTATATTTAAGTTTCATAAATTATTTTTTTATCATTATGAGTCATTTCAATATCCCTTTTTATCACTTCACAAAATTTTTAATAGAACGTGTATCATGGTACGGCCAACATTTTGTCATGTAATCTTGAAATTCATATTTTCACCGTATCTTCATAATTCTCTTCAGCAGAGACGAGTTAAAATCTTTAGGACATAGCACGAGTGTACTTAACGCGTATAATACATACAAAATATGAGGTATTAAATTCATATTTTGAAGAATTTGATTAAGCAAAAACTCATAACGATTACATCTTTGTATTGCCTTGCTATATAAAAAGTAACAACATTTGAAGGAACAAAAATATTTTGCTGGAGCAATACAGGAGAATAAGATTGCCAAAAATTATAAATCTGTTAGCAGATTATACAACTATGCTTATGGAAGTGATCATAGGCAAGCCATAATCTAAGTACGTCATTGATTCGTTTAAATGAAATGTACGAACAATGTCTATTTTTTTTTTCTTCTTTTTTTTCATGCGTTCTTCTGCACACTCACTTTTTCTTACCTTACAAAAAAAAAAAAAAAAAAAAAAAAAAAAAAAAAAAAAAAAAAATAAAGACAAAAAATCAAAGATTATTTAAGATTACACGGCCTTTTCCCAATCTCTTTCAGACGTTAACCGAGTTCTTATAGAACTAGAACTTGCATACTTAAAATAATCTCCTGCTAAGCAGAAGAAATAATCGCACCGATATTGTAATAAATAATTATCTAGATTCCTATTGAAAGAATGTTTACATATAAAAATTTAAAGAAATATTAAGCTGACATTCAACATTTCGCTGCCTTGAAGACAATACACAGATACAATACTTTCAAACCATCATCTTTTGGAATTCGTTGTGCACATACCATAAGCCAGGTCATTTTTTTTTTTTTTTGTTGAACGTTCTATTTTGATGAAGTTTTCATAAAGCTTTATCCCTGCATCACATATAGCGTAATAGTATAAATAATCTAATTATACTATTAATTAACAATACATTATTTTCACTCAAAAGATTCACAATATTCGCAAATCTTCCTTTACTATACAGCGATATTTCATAGAAGATACTTCATCAAAATTGCACGTTTCATTCTTCTCACATTTATACATACATATTATTGTTTATTACAAAGGCATCATATGAATAAGCAATTTAAATTAACAATGTTAAAATAAATTTTGTAATATTTTCAATAACTGCCACTTAAATATTGCAGAAGATATTTCTTTACTAATGGAGTGCACCGTTGTAACAATCGAAAAGATATATCTCGATACACTTGCGGAGCATTTGTTATATACAATTTGTGAGTGTACAAAATATAAGAGTCGAGAGCCAGCAAAGTTAATGTAGATACGAAAAATTATCTCTTATATGTTTATGTGTGTATCACTCGATGAGACGGAAAGATTTTATTTTCCTGGGACATTACGCGGTCTTAACTTATGTCTAAGGCAACAGTGCCATTAAAAATTTAAGTCTATGTACAGAACTCTTCATTATTCATATGAATTTAGTAATCGGTATAAAATACACGATACGCAACTTCATGTTTATGATAATCAGTTTATTACACAGCTTATCCATCATTGTATCTGAACAAAAATAACACTACATTCGTTCTCATGCTATTCGAGTATCTTTTCCGTTTCTCTTTGCAATCATAAAATTCATGACGAGATGACAAACATCAATTTGATACAAAATTATAATGTCTCCGACCGTGTACTGTACAAACATATTTAGCACTGTAACGCGTGTAATTATTTAAATAAATCCATGTGAATAATTAAAGAATGTAACTGTAATATAAGGTAATGTTGTGTGAGATAGGCAGGTATCAAGCTGACTTAATTAAGTGTCACAGTCTTCGAGTTGCCTTTTTTTCTTCATGGACATGGATTATCGGCGCGCCACGTGTTGTGCTTTTCACGTTTGTGTATTGATTGTGAATTGCTTGAATGAATTCTAATGAATAATTTCATGATGTGTGTGTTGCATCATATAATAAATTTTATAAACATGTCCTTCTATGTGCCTCTCTTGAAATATGATGCAAGGGAGAACATATATTTATGTTTTCCTCTGAAGCTAAAAGAATTGTCTGTTGAGTCACGGATTTAATAGTCATCCAGATCAAAAGTATCAACTTCAACATCTTCCAACTGCATACTCTGAAAGTCCACTTTGTACCGCAATATACCTGTAAAACACATATTAACAAAATACTATTTTAGTAGACAGATTTTATCAAGATATTTTTGCTAGTGTAAATTTATGTAAATAAATGAAAAGTATTTTAATAATACAATACAAATTATGCTATATAGAAAAAAGTTTCATGAACAAATTAATAAAATAGAATTTGTAATCAATTATCTGAAGAAATATTATGACAAATAATTTTAATAGACCAATTATTAATCATGCATAACATATTGTGCACAGTATCCTTCAGTTCCTTAAGAGGATTCTAGTAATTTTAAGATACCAAAATGTAATATGGAAACAACTAATATTTTAGGAAAATACTGTTACTTTGGTAACTATTAAATGTAATTTAAAAAATGAGAAGATTATCATAATATAAAGATGATACATAGAAATATATTGATAATATGACTGTAAAATAAATGAATGTTATACATGTAGTGCATATCACAATTTCAAAAGTATAATTCAAATAACAATGCCTAATTTATAACTTTATCAAAAGAAATTAACAAGCAATTAATTCTAAAACGATTATAAGAATAAATGCTCTAAGGAAATTAATGGATAATAAAGAATATGCTATAATAATAATAAAATATATAAATGAACAGTTATTCATGTTATTATATACTAAATATATTACATTTTATGTTAAATAATATTTCTATGATTTAGCAGCCTTACTAATAATAAAAATAATAAAATAAATTTAGTAATATAATATTAATAATTAAATCTTGATAGTATTGTTAATAATAGGGAAAAAGTTCTATATTAATGAATAGAATGATTTTTGTACAGTGTATAACATTCTAAAGCAAAATATATTTAATGTTAAGAAGTGCAATAATAAGACTTAACAAGGTATCAATTTCACAGCTTTTTCTTTCACTAAATTAGTAAAAAGCAATTACTATACCTTTCCCAATATGCAAGCTAATAGAAACAAACCATCAATTAGTACTTATGCTTGATCAAATACACTGACTATTTAAGAAAGCCTAGCTATTTGTTACATAAACGATGATTATTTAATTATGTTTTACATCCAACACCAAAGATTATATATATTTAATTCCTGTTAATAATAATATCTAAAGTATCTTTTAGAAACATAAAACTTTTTATTGTATTTTAACTTTGGTGATGAAATGAACATTTGCCTATTGCATAACATGCAGCAAGCAGTATTTATTATTTCTTTGTACAAGCAATAACAAGGCACATTTGTATATTAATATAAACGTTGGACATAATCTTGAAAATATATTTTATAACAATATTATTGTCTTAGTGTGTACTTTAATTTCACTTAAACTAAAATTCTAATTTAATACTTTAATTATAACAAAACTGTTAAATTAATTATATAATAATTTTCATACTATAACATTCTTCACATAACAGTTAGTTAAATAATGAATACATATTTATTAGATATTTAATCAAATTTTTGATATGTATCAAATAATTTAAAAAAAAATATGTAATTTTAAAATATATTTAATTTATTGCGAAAAATATAAATGAAATTAAAATTAAAAGAAAACAAGGAAAACAATAACAATTCAAAATACATATAAAATGTTATTCAACTGATAAAAACAAAAATGCTAAGAAGCTTAACATGCATACAAAGAAAATTTCCTATGTACATCTACTGCAGAATAAAATAAGAAATAGTGGTTCCGATATTATTTCGAAAATCACATATATATATAT